ATATATATATATACGTACTTAAATTATAACATTAATGCAACGGTAATTGAATGTTATCAACACTTAATTGTGTATGACGAGAATTTCTGTAAATGTGTATGTATGAACACCATAGAAAAATACGTTTAGAATAAAATATATCGAACCGTTTCCATAGCATAATATACGAACGCCTCTTGTGTCTCTTCGTACCGATCTATTTTCTTTGTACCAACGTGAAGTTCGAGTACGACGTTCTATAATAAAATAATAATTACATTATCATTTCTAAAATATATAAGCACAGTTATTTATGAACTTTGATTTTGACTGCCTTCCTATACCACTAATTAAGCAGACTTTGTTAAAACTAATTGACAAATAAAACGTTGATTGTCTTTTTTAATGGTTATTTGCATTTGCGTATATATATTAGACTACACAAAAATAAAGAACGCACAGTTTTAATTTATCTTCTAAGTTCACCACTATTATATTTTACGTGTATTACTATTTTATGTGCAAGGCAGTAAGTAAGCTACGTAAAAGTCAACTAAGCACTGTTGTGATCTGAGTATGGCTACGTTTAGACACGAGAGATATGACCAGTTTTAAATCACTAGTCAAGATGCACATTTTTTTAATAATCACTTTTTTTTGGACGGCACCACTACCAACGACTGCTGGAACGGCACCATATAAATAAAGTGATTGATTGATTGATTGATTGGTTGATTTAATGCTGTGCATTAATCCACGGCGTAACTATGTTTTGACTTGGTGATTAACAAATGCTAGCGTAAATTATTCGTGCAATATTCCTATACCGGTCAAACCTGGCTCTGAGTTCAGAGTATTAATGCATGACTGCTGTAAGTCAGCTGCGCAACTAATCTGGAGGCTGTTGGTTGATTATTGTTGTACGTTAGTGATTGCGTTGAGATAGGTGGATATAAACTCGGCTCAACTCACTGGGTTTAGCCATATTCGAGTTTGTATAAGGTACCTTATCTCAAGCCCGACGTGCCACCGGGTTTGACTTTATGTTGGGCTTTAATCGCTGCAGGTGAAAAGGAAGCAGATCCAGAATTTTTCAAGCGGGGAGCCCAACAGTTTCAGAATATGCCCCCATGCCCCTTAATATTGAGCCAGGATTAACGAAACCTGGCATATCTCCAAATCTGAACGTAGCCTACGACTGCCACCGGACTGCCACCACCAACAATTAGCAGATGGCATAGCGTCGTCTAGGTCTCACAGGGAGGAGTTGGATTCGTCGACTGACGTCCGCCATAGTGATTGACCGCGGCTTTATGGCCCAGTGGCGTATCTACTAGATACATAATTTGTGATGTATTTATTAAGGAAATACTTATGTTATTACCGTTCCCCAGTCATCAAGAAAATCCATATAGGCGTCACTGTCAAAAACAGCAGGGAGATTACAAGCTTCAATAACAAAGCTTTTCGTCAGCGGGTACTTATCGATGAATGCAAGTTCTGATTTGTAACGAGCTACACCGAGATTGCACACCGTACGATCTTCATAATACACATACCGATTGGAGTCTATTGCTCTATGTACCTCTTCGTAAGCTTAAAAAAATAATATTTTAATCTTGATCAACAATGTCTAATACTTTATAAAATTTCTTCCTTTATTCAGACTATTTCTATTCACATTTTATTATTCTTGATCTTCATATTAAATAGTAATGCTATTTATCTTGTGGGGATCCATCTACGATTATGTTATAAACACAAATAATATGACGCGATAAATCTCGTGGTGCTGCGTCGCAACAGTCACTGGCTATATTTACAAACTGCGTCACTTACATTTACTCCTGGAGTATTCATATCCAAGAAACCGTCTGTCAACTCCAGCTAAAAAAAAAAAATACAAAATTTAATTAAAGCCTACTTTTAACACTTAAATTTATTATCATTAGCATAAAGCTAAAAGTAAATGCATTAAGGTTAAAGAAGTGTGAAAGAAATTGTGTCAGTAACAGACACAGGTATCACAGATATTTTTTTTTAAAAAGCAATTGTTTAAAACATGAGTGCTCTCTGTGAGCACTACACGGAACGACACCGTTTGTTGATTGTCAGTAGCAGCCGAGCTGTCTGTGTAATACAATGTTTATTATAAATTTATTGTAAATTGTATATACGATCTGATGTGTTTTTTTGTTTTTTTTAATTATTTGCTGCCTGCTGTTAAATCGTTCATTTGGCAATATAATTTATTGTATTTCAAAACCAAAATAAGATTAAAAACAAGCCTGACCAACTAGTTTCTCTTTTCAACTTTGTTTGATAACTTTCAGTGCCCCAGAACATTTCGTTGGTGGCAATACTTGCACAACTTGAGTGTGGCGTAAAATAAACCTACAAAAAAATATCTTAAGATATTTACATTAAAATGAGGAAGAGTGTTTGGCAGAAGTTAGGTCCCTTCTTCTTGCGCACCCCAGTTCAACCTCGGCAGGCGCCGCGTTTTAATTGCAGACAGGTCACTCTGCTCTTCGAATAGCCTTTGCAAGAGAGTGCGGTATAAGGTACAATGTATCTGTTATAATTATGCCGATACTGCCGTTGCACTAATACACTGCAGCGTGTCCTAATGGTCCTAGCCAATATTTATATTAAAGCAAAATTTGTAAGTAACAGCTTGAATCAGATAATAATAATAATAATAACAATAATAATAATAATAATAATAATAATAATAATAATAATAATAATAATAATAATAATAATAATTGCAGTGTAGTTTTATATAGCGCACATATCCATCTAATGTAAGATGCTCACAGGGTGGTTGATATGTGGACTAATAGACTTATTACCTTCGCTAATAGGTTGTACCTCCAACAATAGTTGGGTCATTTCTGGCACTTCCGTGACCGTGGAGAGGCTAAGTTAATTTCTCCGTGGATTTGACTTCTATGAGGGTTAAGTAAAAAAAAATAGCGAGGGTGTACATCGAAAAATTGTGGGTATAACCCGTGAGATCCCTAAATCAAAAATGACCGCCATCCACCATTTTTAACATTAGTTTTTCAGTTTTTTGGCCTACATGCTTGCTTTAGAACACGGATTTGGGGGTCTACGAATTCATATCTCATGTCGGATTAATAATCTGACCTAGGTTTGACCTTCAAATCCAAGATGACTGCCCGTTTTTTTTCCCCAAAATCTTTTTTTTTTTTTTTTTTTGTAAATTCTCTATAGTGCGTTTATTTAAGGCTTTAATAACTCTGACAATGCTATGACGGAGAGTAAAAATACAAATATTTACACAGTGGTCATCCAAGGAGTCAAGGGTCAACACTTGTGGCTTGTAAAATTTAAACTTTTAGTTCAATTAGTTATAAAATTTCAGTGTTACAGTACTCTACTTACCCACTCCCATTATTATAAATTGAATGATAGATATTAAAATGGTTCAGAAAAAAAAAAAAAAAAAACATCTAAGTTAGTGCTGCCTTTTAATTTTCTTAACATAATGTCATGCTCACTGATTTGCTTGGAGGTTCGTGTAGGTTGTGTTGAGTAAGGTTTGCTTTTCGTAGGTGTTGGGTAGTGACAGGATTGAACACCACTGTATGCAGGAACCTGCTGTTTACCTGGCGGTGGCCAATTCTACCACATACCAGGGAACAGTGAAATTTCACTGTTCCCTCCACATACATACCGAACAGACGTTGTAAGCTATACCATTCACTGGTCTACCGTGCAACGAGCTGGTGGCTCACATTTGCTACCAGGTGGCCATCTACATTGATGGACCAGCGTTAGCCATGCCGACACTTCCTTCTTGGTGAACTTTGCAGAAGGCTCTTCACTCGGTTGCTTTTCATAGTTCTGAGGCTGCACAAACCAAAAAAAAAAAAAATATTCGGTTGCCCTCCGCGACCGACCGAAATTTTCCGGAAAAAAAAGAAGAAAAAAAATCAAGTTACGTAGAAATTCGACAACAATGAAAACAACATTGGATTTCTCTCGCTAAGCTATCAAGCCACGACCAGATATATGCCTAGGCCTAACCTATTCTTTACTACTGTAGAAGTAGTGGTTTCTTAAAACAAAAATCGTATTCACTAACTTGCGGTATATTTGACAATAAATAAAAACAGGCTTAGGTCTAGTAATCCCTTTAAAACTGGTACATAGCTAGACATTTTCGGCACCGTTACGGTTTTAAACTAACCATAAACGAAATCGTCGTCAATTATTCTTTTCAATACTCGAATCCTATATCCTTCTTTTCTTTCTTTCAAGCGTTTCACCATTTTTTAACACTAACATTTACACTAAACAGAAGAAAATTTAAAGAAAAAAAATATGAATTTAATAAATGTCGCACCTGATCAGGTACGTCGTATTGGTAATTCGAAGATTTTTCCCCATTATTGTAAGTCATTTCAAACACTCTTCTCGTTGGCAGAAGTCCAGGATCTACACCTCCAATAGATATATCGGTTCCATCGGGATTACCGTCAATAATATTGTAACCTATTCCAAGAAAGTTTATTGCTGAAGGTGAAGGCAATGCAGCATGAGCTGCTGCAAAACATAACGCACAGAAGATTATCACCTTCATAACCATGTTCTCTGGCCTGAATGAAAATTAAAACAAGTGTAGGTAAAACAAAATTAAATTGACTTTACTTGGCAACAAAAACCTTAATACACTCTACAAAGTGAATAACATCAGTGTATTTGCAACTGAATACGTATCGTTTTATGTGATAAGACTGTGTGAAAATGTATTTCGAATGCATCTGATAATATACAACGTTGATTATTTCATATTGTTTCTTTTCTCGAACAATTGAATCTGTATTGCTTTTAGTGGGTAATGATTAACTTGGAAAGTCAAATGTGTTTGCGAAGTGCACATAACAAGAATGTAGGTGTAGTCGTTCATAACATATTATTGGTATCTCCCCTTGCAGTCTCGCCCCCTCGACAAACTCGCCCCTTATACAATCTCACCCCTTAACAAACTCGCTTCCTAACAAATTCGCCACTTATAAACTCGGCCCTTTCAAACTCACCCCCTAACAAATCGCTCCCAGAATGTACATAGTTTCCCCCTAATAAACTCGCCCCAAACAAAATCTCCCCTTAACTCGCCCCATAGCAAAATTGCACTTCCAATTATACATAGTCGCCCCTAACAATCTCACCCCTTAACTTCCTAGCCCCTTAAAAAACATGCCCCTAACAGATTCGCCTGTACCTTTCTAAATAGGTAGGGACCATTAGGTGGGCGAAATGTTACTAGGCCTATCGTAAATATCATTTGTCTACTTTTTGTTATACTTATAACTTTCTTAATTAGTCTTTATCACGATACTTGACTCGCATATACATTTTTATATTTGTTCAGAATGATTATTATTTAATGCGAAAGGGTATAGGGCCGTCATAACTCCTTTATAGGTGTCTAAAAACCGAATTTTATTTTTAACGATGAGCGCATAAATACTTGACGGCAGAATTTAGATGGAAATGGTTGGCTAATCCCTAGCTGCAGTTGCGTAATAGGCGTCAACATATCATTGATTAGCTTCCCAAATAACCAGAGACGCAAATAATTTGCAGTATTAAACAAAAACAACACTTTGCATAAAACACATACACAATAATTTTTTTATATTTTTGTAAGTTATTACAGTCATGTGGACCTTACTATCCAAAATAATGAATTGATCTGAAATGTATTTACTACATTGCAATTATACTAAATTTTCACTTATGTAAATTATATGAGCCCAATGATACATTCCAGACCGGAGTTTTATGACTAAGATAAATAAGACTTCAGAGTTCGTATTAACATACTCTACTATAATCAGTTTAATTTAGACATATGCCATTATATATGTATTGTACCAACCTATTTTTACCTCTGCCAACGCAGATGGAGAAGGTAATGTTTTCGTCCCTTTTATTTAAATGTTTATTTTTTATATGTATATTTATATAATTAATAATGTGTGCATATGCGTGTGTGTTTTTGTGTCTGTGAACAACCTGCAGTCGACAGGTTTTTTTTTGTTTTTTTTTTAAGAATGCATCAAACTTAGTCATAATGCTCCATGAGCAAAGACCTAGAGATGGCTAAATTACGAAAGCCCCGGGGTCAAACTCGGGCATAATATTCCATGACAAAAGTTCTGTAATTGACTTAATTTTGAAAAGGGGTCAGGGTCTAAGGTCAAGGACACGATGAACGAAAAACATTTTCTTATCTTTCTGTCGTATGGATACATGTCTGTGTGCTAACGTTGTTTTTTTTTCGAAGATGTGTACAAAACATACTGGATAATTTCACAAATATACATGTGAAAAAGATTTGTCGAGTGGTTAGGAGAGTGTTTTCCACACTAAAAACACCATGTTCGAATCCCATGATGTTCTTTTTGTTTTATTTAATTATCTTTTATATCATTATCCGTACACAACTTAACAGCTTATTACCAGTAATGTAATGTAATATTAAGGTTGAATAATATTTAACCATTGGAACATTCTATTAAATCATAGGAAAATAATTTCTCTATGATTCAATCAGAAATTTCAAAAGTATGAGGTGATTAGTTAAGACACACGTCAATACCAGAAAGTATGATAGAGACTCAATATCACTGACAGAGATTTAGAATTAGAAGGTTTAGATCTAAGCTAACATTTCAGAACTGACTCGACTCTGAAATGGTTTGACTCAATTAACATGAGAAACCTGGAGCATAGATTATAGTTGAATAGATGAATAAAGCTTGTAGCATATGGTGTGGCGTAGCCAGAAAATTTCTGTAGGGGTGGGAGGGGGACAGTGTGGGTCCGTGATATTATCTCCGGTATTCTTAAAACAAACTTTAGTAGTAGTTCAAGCTCAAAATTACGTCATTTTGTATTCTTAAAACGAACTACGACTAGCACTACGACTAAATGACGCGAACCTCGACTGAAATCATACCTTCTCATGCCGAATTTTTTAGTCAGCCTAGAGTGAGGTTATATCGCCGACTTGAAATATTTAACCCACTAAAAACGTGTTTTTTTCGTAACCTACGATAAAGTGAAACGAATAAAAATATGCAGGTTTGATATGTCTTCGGTGTGTTAAACAAAAGAGACATCAAGTTTAGCTTCCAAAAGGATAAATTAACTTGTTTTGCTAGCCACATGCGATAGTTCCCGATTTGCACGAAATCCCCTCGCGTTTCAGTCACGTATAGCTTCACCATAATAACAACAAAGATGGCGCCGGCCACGCTCGGGCTCAACTATAATAGTTCTCCAAAGAAAGCAAATTTTCAGTGACTGTTCAAATTCTTTATCGTATATGTTAATAACTAATATAGTTATTATTGAAATTAATTAACCGAATGATGATCTATTATGAATTACGAGGAGATACGTTTTCGAACCGCAGTCGGCAGCTTAATATTCATATCTGCGTTACTGAATCTCTAAAATTTCGTCTGGTATTAAAGTTAGCCCTTTTCATTGGTTAGTTTGATAGTCGTGGCTTGCCCGTCGTCTTCTAGGACTTGATGTACCGCATTTGAATCGAACCAGAGTTATAACACCTCACAAACCAACCATAATATTACAGTAATGCAATTTAGGCATCGGCACTGCACTGAATACATTAATTTAAATTGTTGAATAGAATAAATTGTTGTGTTTAGATATTATACTATACCATAAATGTTATTGTATCGAACATTGTTTCCATCTTGTATACAACATAGATAAGATCTTACTTAATTTAATTTTGTTTTTGCTTAATTTATTTTTTTTTATTATTATTTTTTTATTGACATATGTGAATTCCTCATTAAACTAAATAATTTAAACTAACTGCTAGTTAGTTTAAAGTTTAAAACCAATCTAAGTTTGCGGATGCATTTATGTTACTAACAAATAACAAAATTAAAGATATAAAATGCAACATTATTATTTCAGCTTGTGGTATTGCGTAATAAAGTGAGAGCTTGTAGTAAGCAACTCTTCCTACGGTTGCTACCACAAGGACCTTACGCAAAGACGCAGCGAACTGACATGGGTGACACCCTAATTATATTTACTTACAGTAATCACCGTGTGAAAAACAGGCCGTTTGAAGATAACAGAATTGGTTTGTGTCACATTATTTAATTAAATTTGTGTCACAAAGGGTTGTGTTAGTGATGGTATGATAATATTAGAACATTATATAAATAAACAACTATCGTTTCATAGTATCAAGTCTAAAAAACAGACCGCATTGTAAAATTTGATTTAGCATAGTACTTTTTACGCCAAGTTAGCCTTCATTGCGTAAAGTGTAGTGCAACTAGCATTTTTACTCTGCTGAATTTAGCTCACTGTAATGAATGTCCTCGACAATTTCTTTTATTCCTATTACAACCAGGTCTAGCTTTTGTGTGCTTTTGTCTAAAATATCCGCGAGTTTTCCCACTTAGTGGTCTAAACTGAACTATATAATGCAAACTTAGCTTCATCACGAATCTTTTACAATACATCGGTTACATCCGTAACTTCCTCTGTGATAAATTATTTGACGAGCTACTTCACTGCCAGGTCTTTTCTTATCTGATCAGATAAACTGAGTAAAATATGAAACAAAACAATATATTTGAAACAAAGAAGACTGAAATATTGTTTTAACGTTTGTATAGCTTTTGCTTGCTCTTGTCTACAATATCCGCGAGTTTTCCCACTCAGTGGTCTAAACTGAACTATATAATGCAAAGCTTCATCACGAATCTTTTGCAATACATCGGTTACATCCGTAACTTCCTCCGTGATAAATTTTTGACGAGCTCTGCCAGGTCTTTTCTTATCTGATCAGATAAACTGAGTAAAATATGAAACAAAACAATATATCTGAAACAAAGAAGACTGAAATATTGTTTTAACGTTTGTATGGTATATTTAAAAAAGGGGTAAATACTTTTGAATACCATGTAGATAGTTGAACACAGACCAACATACATTGTTCACTGCAAGCATTTCCAATCATTATGCAAAATACTAAAATATATTCACTATAAATTACGGGTTTGCCAGACAGAGACAGATAGAGATTTCTCTATAGAGAATGTGTGCCTATAAGAAACATTCGTTCTGTTTTGCTGCGAGTCACTAGACGAGCAGCGACACTAATGTCGATGAATGGCAGTATAGATCTCAATTTTCCCAGGACTCGAGATGAGTTTTCCGGAGAGCGTCGGATCGTCTTCGGTTTTCAGCTCGAAAGCGAGATGAAATTAATTCGAGTACTTTTTGGAGCCTTTTCGAGATCCACATGGTCCCAGCGGCGTGGCTTTCAATCCAGGTCATTGTCAGTTTCGAGCTTGACTGTGTCGGATGTGTGGTGGAGTTGAATCGGTAAGTATTCCATTTTCAAACATTTATTATGTCAAGTCTTAGAAGTGTTAAGGTCACGATAATTTTAGTGATGTTTAGATCAGTGTGATTGTGTCCTGTTTGTGAGATTTTTTAGTGTTATGGTTGTGCTATTAATTTTATAATATAATTAGGCCTAGGGGCCTAGGCGGAACGTCGCTGGCTCAGGCCCGTAGCCAGGGGGGTGGGGGTTATGGTTCGGGCGAACCCCCTTTTCTAGCGAATCCCCCTGTTTTCTAGCGAACCCCCTCGAATTTTTGAATGAGTCCCACTCGGACGGAATGTCTGTTTTTAACTTACCCAGCATTGAATCAAAATTTAGCACCTAATTCATTATTTGGTCACCCGTTTTTAAATTGTAGCCTGCGATAAAGCCTACATTCATAGAATATCTCAGCTTCAGAAGTTCGGAGATTTGAATTGAACGCAAATTTTAATCACATGTTACAAATTCAATGTTTTATATTTTATTGTTGATGGAGTAGGCCTATATACTGTCGTGTTAAAATATCTTTACTGTAAATTAGAGAATATACACTGTAGCTGTGTAGTCTCAAAACAAGACGCTTCTCTACAAAATTTAACTGTTTGAACGACGTTTTATTCTTCAATAAAATGAATTTGGCTCTGCACAATGTGAGTCTGTGTCTGTGTGTGGTTCACTGAAACCAACAGTAAAAAAAAACGCCGTTGCTAGAGATCGGTACCGTATCGCAGTTTTGCTAGATTTGGCGACATCAAGCGACTGAGTAAACTATTTTAATAGTAGAAGCCAGGCTCTGGCCTTATAGCTACCCCTGCTACGCGCATACTAATTTCCTGTGGTATACGCATTGTAGGCCTATAATACGTCCTATACTACTACAAATAAGTTTACGCTCACTGATAATCAATCGCCATGTTGCATGGTTGGCTATTTCAATCAGCAATAATAACTAGTGCCTACTATTCTATAGGCTTAGGCTAGGCCTCTAGTTGTAGCACTACAGTACTAGTCCGGAAGCCTTGCCTAGTAGTACGCCTATAGCATAGATAGGCCCCCCTAGGCGGGTATTCGGCCATGCCCTAGGCCTTAAGTAGACCATTCTCTATAGTAGACCATAAAATACGCAAGAATAACAGAAATGACTTTTAACCCAAACATTGTGATAAGCGACAATCGAAGTACATGAAATGGGCCTATTAATTATGACATAAATTTGATCGTAACTGTTCGCGCCACACGTTTCTCATGATCGCGACATCGACTTTGCAAAGAAAGCCAAAATCGAGTCGGTCATTTCTATTGGCTAATCATGACGTAATATCATTTACCGTACCTTTAGCAATCGGAAGTTCCGATACGGTAGCGTATCTCTAGCCACGGCGTAAAAAAAAACACATGCAAAAATCAACAGAAAATAATTAGCTCTCTAATATTCTTTATAATTAACGTAGCATTATTTAACTCATTAATCAAATAGTATTTACCAATTATTTATATTCTAGCTTCTGAACAAATTGTTACCAATCATAGCCCTAGCCTTATTCCGTTTCGTTCTGCATAGATTGTTAACAATATACACGCCAGCTTGCTTCGCCTTGCATAGCTTCTCTATAAACAATATCATTACTTCATTACAACTACTTTAAAACAGAGGGCGCACTAGCCTAAAGCATTAATGTTAATGCCGCTACATACACAAAATGTGTAAATAAGGTATTATTAGAGAAAAAAATTAGCATAATTTGCAGTAGGCCTAAAATACAACATATTTTAGTCAATGTTTGTAGCGTTTTGTGATTTATTTTAATGTCTTTTTTAGTACAATTAAGACAACTTGATTTTATGATTCAAACAAGGCATCATATGAAGATAAGCCTATCTAAAAGTCACTGTAGGGTGGTCGAGACAGAACATACCTTCGACTTTAGATTGACAAAGATTGAAATAATGTTAAATAGGCATATAGACACAATGTATACCGAGGCCTAGTTCTAGAGTCCAGTTAATATATGTAATTATTTATCGAAATGATGTATTAATATATATTGTAACGAAATTACCTCCTCTGTAGTACCAGCTCTTTTTGGGCAATACGTTTAATTAATAGGACAGCCCTGAATTACTTAGTGGTTGGTTCATTAGTCTGATATTTACATGCAGTTAAAACAAATATATACAT